GATGTGGTATCCTGAACAATTTTAATATTTTTAACGTTTGACAATGTATATGATAGATACATATTTTAGTTATTTTAATATGAGAACAAGGCATGCAATGAACTAGTTTGGCGTGGATAAGTAAGCACCTGAAGATGGCATTATTATGCCGAAACATGTAGTGCGAGGGAGAGAAGGAGATAAATGAGTGTATGCACTACAAGACGGTTTAAATAAATCATGGACTTAAATCAGTGCAACAGGACGCTAAAATATAACATCATGAATCACATTAGTAATTAAATAAATGATCTGGGTAATGAAATAGCTAGGTCCAAAAGTAAAATTTCATTGATAGCTGACAAGACTGTTGCGTAAAATGTTGATTCCAATCGTGTACATCAGAATTTGTCATGGATACTGGAATGATCTGCGAGGCAAATTTATTTTTGAACTTGACTGAACCCCAAACTGTTACTGCAAAGACATTTTTTTATTCTTTGGTCGACTGTCTTCAATATACCAAAAGATGTAAGCTGCTTAAAAAATTACTTAGTTTTTCTTTCTCCATGAGGTGGTGTAGCCTTGAAGTTCAGCAGTAAATGTGGAGTTACGAAGCTAAGGAAGGACAATGTTCTTTCTATAATTGTGTAGCACTGTACTAACCATAGATTAGAACTGTCAGTCAGCGATACAGTTAAATCAGTTTCAGGTATCAACAGATTTAATGACATTTTAGACAGAGTCTTGATATATAATAAGCTTGGCCCTCCCACTATTGAGTTATTGCTTGCAAAAGCTGTCAGATCTCAGGTTTCCAAAGACATGTAACTGTAGCTACAACAGCTGCAATTCCAGGAAGCATAGCAAATGCTACATCCTATCCCCACAGAAAAAATGAGCTTATGGCACGTTCTTAATGTAAAAATGTGACTAACCACTTACTTCTTATGTATAAACTATACGTGGTACTTAATAGGTCTTAATTAACATCATCCATCCTTCCATCTATCCGCCCACCCACCCATCTGTCTGTCCATCCATCCAACTGTAGACACGACACAACTGATGAACACATTTTCTGCAATGAGACTGTGACTCAGAGGGCAGTATGGTATACTCTGTATGAGAATCAATTACAGTATAACTTGGTTATAACGTCATCAAAGGGACCTAAAAATAGTGCCGTTATAAACGAATGTCGTTGTAACCGAAATGGGCACTTACACAGTAGCCTTATGTTAGTCACGTAAAAATCTACCAAAAAC